CAGCAGCCGCTGGGCCTACAGCAGCTACAACGTTTGGCACATTTAGGAACTCAGGCCAATTATCTGTTGACTGAGTTGATGAATCAGAAAGAACAGGCGATGACGATGACGTTGTGAATAAGCTGCATCCTCCTTCCACAGCACGTTGGTCAGAACAGGCTGCCTAGACCTGAGAAATTAGAGACAGACAGACCACTGAGTTGGGGTTCACAGCAGCAAACGTGCTGGTCGGATACAAGGACTCTCTTCACTCCTGGGGGCTGGTGAGGCCACCGGGGCCGCCTGTCGGCACGCGTGTAATGTGCACACGTGCACCACGTATGATGCGTGTATGTGCCATGCACACGCGATACAGCGACCCTACTCTGAGTAGGAGCCGCACAGTGACAGGGAGACGACTCCGCCTCGGGTCCCAGAGCCCACGATTCAGGAGAGACCCCGGGCAGCAGGGACGCAATGACAAAAGTGATATGGTGTGACAGGGAACGCAGAACTTGGCGAATGTGTCCCGGCCTTGCTGACCGATACCACTCGGGACATCCTTCCACTGGGCTCCCTGCAGCCCTTGCCGAGGAGGGGGAGCCTCCCCGCAGCCAGAATCTGGTCCCCATGCGGGTGTCTCCAGGGATGGTGCACCCCCGGGCCACACGGGGGCCTCTGCCCCAAATCCCAGTGGTGCCCAAGGAGAGCGTTTGAGCGCCGTCCAGGTCAGGCTCTTACCAGCAGCCCGATGGGGCCACTGATAGTCTCCCATCCGCTTCCCTGGCAGCCCGGCCGAGGGCCACCGTGTGCTCCGCCCGAGGCCACCAGAGGCCTGTGGACGGCGCACCCCTGGGCAGAGGACACCGCCGAGGCTACCCAGGTCAGCGGCACGCGACGAGCCGGTGCCCCTCAGTGGCCGGAGCCCCGCGCTGAGGAGCCCCCTGTGCGTTTCTGCCACCGGCAGTCTCCTCGCTTCTGCCTGCAACCCACGATGCTTCTGTCACCAGCGGAGACGAACTCTTTCCAAGAGAGCATCCTGCATGAACTTGCGGCGGAAGCAGGCGGCACAGTGCGGTCTTCCTCGAGCCGTGACTTTTAGTACATTAAAGATCGTGAAACAACGAACCCACACATCCCAGATGACCGAGAGGAGAGGCAGGTGCATTTAAAGGCGTCACACGCTGCATCCGGAGTCCGAGTGTCTGGACCGGTGTCCACAGCTGCCGGAAGGATCTCAGGAACCCTGCAAGCAAACCTGGAACCCGGACGGCCGTCAGGGAGCCCAGACCCTGCACTCCTCTTTCCCTCCTGCCGGGAAATGCTGTTAGGACGCGTCTTGTGTTCTCCTCAACTCAGACAAGCCGGCCTTCCATCCGGGGGCCTGTCCCCAGGGCAGAACCTGGGGAGGCAGGTCTATAGAGCTGTGCAGCTAACCCACTGTCTTCCAGGTCTCCTGTTTGCTGTTGTTCGTGCTAACGTTTTATGTTATTCTTAACAATTCCAAGGTGAAGTTGGACCCGCTGTCCCCAGTTCAGACTTGGCCATCTGCCATCTCCGCAAAAGAACACAACACCAGGCTTAGACGAGCAGGAAAACCAAGGCTCAATCCAGCAAACATGTGAAAGTATGATCTGAAAGTCACCGTTCCAGGTTGGTCGAAGCTGTTGGCACTGGCTTCCTGCCTCGCCTTTGGGCACCTCTGTGACCTACCCCGCACCCCCATGCCGTGCCTGTGCCCCGCAGCTGGGCCCCGCTGTCGGCCAAGGGCCGTGTGCCCCTCAGTGCACACAGGACCTTCCTTCCTGTGCTTTCTCCACATGTGACCAAGCCACCCTCGGAGGCCTGCAGGAAAGGGGCACGAAGACTGCAAATCTTTCCATGTTTCAGACCTACCTCCTGCCACCCCCCGGCCCCATCTCCCACCTGCTGTCTGCCTGCAGCAACCTCTCTGCCCTGGGGATCCTCCCGCGGGGACCAGTCCTTTCTCTCAAGAGGGCAAGTCCTCTTCTCCAAAGGTCCTCCACCACGAGCCAGACCGGGTCCTTCCGTCAAGGCCTCTAAGCGCCCTGTTCACCTTCTGTGGACAATTTGTGAACCGTGTCTGTCTTCCTGCAGCTGCTTTGGGATACTTGGAACCAGCGTCACAGTGACTGACACAGGGCAGGCACTCACGGATTGTATTTGTTCAATAAACTGTGTAAGACATTGGTTTTTAAATCCCGCTTTGGAGTTGAACGTACATCTGCTGGGGCGCCGTGACTTAGAATGAACTGCACGAATACTGTACTGAGACCCGTCACTTGGCGCCTGTTTCCCGTGAGGGCCCCTTCTGCAGCGGAAGTGGGGCCCTGAGACTTTGCTGTGGCTCCGCGTTTCCCTAGAGGTCCAAGTAAAAGTCTTTCAAATCCGTTTCCCAAGCAACGGAGCAGAGGAATCCCGTTCCAACGGCCCCCTAGAACCCCATGCGGTGCAGACAGTCTGCAGGTTAGAAGCGTTCCTTTCGCGAGCAGCACTCAGCCCACATGGGCGGTCCTGGAGACCAACGGAGTTTCCGTCCTCTCAAACCTCAGAGCACCGTTTTGGGCACGAAAATACACCACAGGCAGACACTAGCACTCCAATACGTAGATAGGCAGACAGTCCTAAAAAGATCCACACCGTCTCTGCCGAAAGCCCTACCTGAAGTCCTGGCACGCCCCCTCAGCCCACCTGCCCCAGGGACACAGAGGCAGGGGCTCTGGGGCCACAGGGGGAGAGGGGTGGTGCAGCAGAGCCGGGCCTGGGTGCTTTGGCGACCGTGCACCCTCCCGGAGCCACCCCAGGCGGGTCCTCGCCACCGGTCCACACAATTCACTAAGCACCTGGTGTGCAGAGTCCCTGTGACCGCTGGTCTGGGTCTGGGTCTGCCCACGAGCCGGGTGAAAGCCACGGGGGGGGGGGGGGG